GTGAGATATAGATTTGTTAATTTTTTTTGTAAATCTCTTGTTCTAAACATGGTATTGCCCGTCAAAATGATGCTACATATTACAATAACTAAGTACAACAAGAATGGAAATGGGAGATCACAAGTAAATTTGATAAAGCAGCAGTCGAACGCAATGCAAACTTTAAGACTTCTTTAAGACCTTTCCCATAAAACTGCCCCTTTGCCCCAAAACAATTATTTTGTTGTAACACAGAAATGTTGTGGAAAAGTGATTTCCACAATCATGATACCCAGAGTACACATGTACATGTATGTACAGTGCGTTGAAAAGTTACTCACACATAAATGCAGAATTGAAAAGTTCAACTCAAGTTGAAGACTACTCATACCTGAGTCCTTGTCATCTTTGAGTGCTTGATTCTCATACTCAGTGTCTGAGCCTTGATCACTGAGAGCATATCCATGAGTACAATCCCATTCATCAAATGCACGGGCTGAACTTCGATAACTCTCATTACGTCCTGTGTAAGAAGAGTTGGATCAACAGTAAAAATTTAAACATTCAACTTAAACCATGGAGAAATTATTTGTCCATGCTTTAAGGCAATCAAATACATATAAGCAGCAGTGGATTCTGATAGGTGATCACCAGTGTAATATTTGAGTATCAAGTTCACTCATATAGTGAACTGGCTTGGAAGGAATAAAGGTGAACAACATGGGAACTGGATGGTGAATGCACGAAGGTGAGATTACAAAACAAATTTTAACACTTCAGACAGTCCCACTTTTGTAGAAAGTAAATTTCAAGACAAAACGTACTTGAAAGTTGAAAAGTACTCAGCTAAGTACTTTTCGAGTATTTTTGTAATAAAAATGTAACGTTTATTGTCATAAAATGTAAAGTTTATTACATAATGAAGGTGTGAAGTCATTTTATTTTGCAATGTTGCCTCTTTGCGTTCACTGTCTACTCTTCCTAACCAGTTCAATATTTGGCAAAGAACTTGGTACTCTGAATGCACCTGTACTCGACTACAACCCTGGTGATTATAGGCCTAACAGACCATGGAGCTAATAATTCAACTTACGGTAGGTCTCTGGCAACATTTAAGCCATTGCAATACATGTACACAACAGACAAGATTAATAAAGAGTATGTTACTGAAGGCTCAGCATGTGAATTTACTACCTGTGAGTAATTAGCTTTTCTTCACAGCTCAATAAAACATTGAAGGCCCTGGATGCTGGAGGCCAATTTTTATTCAACTAAAAGAAAAGGCTGGCTGGGCTGGATGATGCATGTACATGTAGGTGATCAACTTCTATGGTACACCAAATGTTTACCATAGGTCTTCCTGACATTAAGAGGATAATTTCATTTGCCAGAAAAGTCAAAACCACTTAGTGTGCAAACAAGTACCCATAGTAGAAATTGGAGTACAAAACTACAGTACATGTATGCTCCACACTACACGGCGCTGCACAAACACTTGCACGTACATGTACATTGTATGTACCGGTATATGTAGATATCAGCGTACAGTTTGATGGTCACTCTGTTGCAGGGCATTGCTGTAGTATTGATTACTTCAAGAGTCCTATGAATGTAAATCAATTTTGGCCTAAATGTGAAGTGCCACAATGGTCACTCATTGGGGGTGCCACAGCAGTGGTGTCCAGAACAATTTAGCCCTTGAGACTGCAGTGCTTGTAAAGTCATGGAGGTGGTCATGGAGGTGGTCATGGAGGTGGTCATGCAGGTGGTCATGGAGGAGGTCATGGAGGTGGTCATGGAGGTGGTCATGGAGGTGGTCATGGAGGTGGTCATGGAGGTGGTCATGGAGGAGGTCATGGAGGTGGGCATGG